TATACACACCGAGGATGTGTATGAGGACATGGCAAAACACATACACCTGTACGACACCAGCGATTACCCCAAGGACCATGCCCTACACAACACGATCAACAAAAGGTCCTTGGCAAGATGAAGGACGAATGCGGCTGGCACACCCATCGCCGAATCACGCCGGCTTGAGGCCTAAGATGTACTCCATCTTGAAAGCTGACAAGGGTGAGATCCGAAAGGCAAAAGGGTCAAGAAATACGTGGTGAAACAACACATCAAGCACGCCCTCTTCAAACAAGCTCTGTTCAAGAATAAGACGCTCAAACACCGAATGAACGAACGTTGAGAAGCCGACACAAACACAACATCTACGCATCACCCTCAACAAGACGCCGCTGTCGCCCATGGACACCAACGGTGGATCGCGCCCGGCGGCGCCACGACTTACGCCAGCACGGGCACACGCCATAAAACCACTGAGTGGTGAAATTAGTGCTCTTAGTTGGCCTGGGCTGTGCATTGAATGGTGTCTCTGCTCGGCGGAATTGGTATATAATGACACTCTTAGTCGGCCTGTTACAGAATCCCCATTCTATGACTGGGAACTGGTGGCTGCTTAGCATCCGCACCGCTCTGCGGCTGGGGACGATTGCAGTCCTCGTTCCCGCCTGGGGTTGCCGAAACTCATGGTACCCTACAGATGTTAAGGCTCCTATAGGGGTCTGGGATGTGCATCGAATGGTGTCTCTGCTCGAAATTGTTAATTTATACTGGGGGCTGGAAGCGGAATAGATATATAATGACGCTCTTAATCGGCCTGTCACAGAACCCCCATTCCCTATACTACTCTCTGACCCTTTCAGACATCATACGGCAGTCAACAGTGATCCCACAGGTGAAAATAACATTCACAGACCACAATCAGTGCAACATGTGACTCTGGATAAAATAGACAAGACTGGGAGATATATTGTTGACATGTAGAACACTAAATGACCTACATGACAATGTTACTGTACTGACCCCAGCCTGTGGAACAGGCCACTCAACCAAGTCACGTTTAAACTGACTGGGTTTTCAAAGCTCACCTACTGATCATATTAATACTGATCACATAATCCACATATACTTAGATGTCAGATGTAGTCACAGGGGCTGCAACCGTGTGACCAAAGAATAAATAAAATTTAAAAAAAAATTAAAAAATAAAAAAATCAATCAATCAATCAATCAATCAATCAATCTTTATTATCACTTAGTACTCAAATTCAGTAATAATCTATATTTGTAGTACCTATCGTACCCGTCCCTTTCAATCCCAAGGTGTGCCATTCTGCCATGACAAGACAAAAAGCGAATATCTGACTTAAGACAAGATAACAATGTTGAATGACATGATCTCATCTTATCATCAGTTGGAAACTTATTAGATAGAAACACACACACTCACACGCATACACACAACAGTGTGTGCATGTGTGTGGCATATATATATGTATGACAGTGATTTAGCTTGTATTTGAGACTGTCATTTATGTACTTGCACTGGTCTCCTGTATGTGTATGCTTGAGTGTGTAAGAAATATTTCTGGCCAGGAGGGGCCGGAAACTTACTAACCAGATTCAAAATTCCCAACTCATGGCAGCTGCACTAACTATTTGGGAGAAATATCTGTTCCTGATCCATTGGTTCCTACTCACTTTCTGTTTCTTTTTTTACTCATTTTTCTGTCAAACTGTCTAAACAGAACAAGCATTATTCCCAGAATAGTTGACAAGTGTAGTCAAAAATTAAGTAACACTGCTTGTGATTGGTTAAACTACCAATTACAACCAATCAAAACATGTTTGTTATACTCAGTGATTTAGTCACTCAAAAAAGATGATATATTTTGGGGGATATAAATTTGATATTACACTGTTGTATTGATCGTGTTGATCTACAGAAATGAGAGAACAGTTATTATTTTTTCTTAAACTAACACATGTAGCATGTATGAATAAATAGGTATATTATGTGACACGTACAATGTCAGGCCAGGCACATCACTCTTCAAAATACCTGCCTGCACGCCCGCCCGGGATGGGTTATTTTCATTGACTACCAGATTCTCAAATTCAACTATCTGATGGTCGGTTTAAAATTTAGACATGTACCCGTTATATGAAGATATTTTGTGGGCAGGTATGTTTTGGTCACGGCTAACCAGCTCTGTGGTCTGGCTGAAAGTTTAGGGAGTTTCATACCCTGATATATGTACAAAATTTACAGCAATATGGAGACAATACATTCTAATATTTGGGGCACACCTTAATTTCAAAATACAAACTCTACAAAGGACATTTTCTCTTAGAATAGATGAGAGAAACTGTGTAAACCTGAACATTAGAACCGTGATAATTGCTCATCAGAGGATACCAAGAATACTTGGTACAAAAACACTTTTTGAGTTGAATCATAACATATCCATTGCTGTCTTACATATCCATTATTGTCCAACATATCTATTGTTGCTCTAACATATCCATTATTGTCTAACATATCCATTGTTGTTCTAACATATCCATTGTTGTCTTACATATCCATTATTGTCCAACATATCCATTGTTGTCTTACATATCCATTATTGTCTAACATATCCATTGTTGTTCTAACATATCCATTGTTGTCTTACATATCCATTATTGTCTAACATATCCATTGTTGTCTTACATATCCATTATTGTCTAACATATCCATTGAACGACACTGATTCTGAAGAACTGTTTTAGAGGACATTAATCATTTTACGACTTGGTGTTCAGAAAACCACTTACTCTTAAATGTAACAAAAACAAAGGAACTGATAATTGACTTTCGGAGTAAACCCACAGAAATGCTTCCAGTGATAATCAACGGTGAATCTGTTGAGACAGTGTCGGAGTATAAGTATCTGGAACTCTAACACTGAAGCCCTACACAAAAAGGGCTTCAGGATGTGTGGTAAAGATTGTTGTTTCAGAAATCAGTGTGCTTCACATGAACTGTTAATTTACCTAATACTGTCCATATTTATGGTGCTATTAATGAGAAACTGGTATTTATACCACCAGATGAACACAGTTAAGTTCAAGTAGATTCTTATTAATAAATAAATCAACAAGTCATTTCTAAGACTGTATATTGAATTATGTTAATCAGTAGACTTGTAGACATCAATACGAATCAGTGACATCATCCTGTTCAATAATACCACACCAGTCTCGATATCACCAGCCACTCACAGAGCAGTGTTCTCCCTGGCAGGTACCAGCGTAATTCCATTTCAGTTAATGGATGCATTAATGCAAAAGTCTTACTTCCTAGCCGACAAAACCACATGCAGATCATTTAACATTCTCCCTCGGGAGAAAATCCACCAAGAATCAGACTTAATGAGATATTAAACCACATCAGTGAGATACAAATGACGTATTTGTTTCTACAACATCTAATATAACCTTCTGTCATATTTTGTCTAATATCTGTACAAATTTGGAAGCATTGTATCACAACTTTACATACAGAATTGATCATTTAACCAAGTATGTCTAAAAAAATTTATCTATGATATTTACAATATTTATATATTTATGATCTACAATAATCATGATAATATTAGCAGTTTGCTACATGGATTGTAGGCAAACTTTAGTCTCTTCCCCTGACAACTCATTCTGTGCGTTTGCGCTAGAGACGTTTGCAACACTGATAATGATTACAAGGATACTCCTATACATAAAGTGGTCAGTGCTTGATGGTCTGTAGGTAGTGAAAAGATCAAGTCATTGGTATCAACCAAATAACTTAATACAAGTAGATATACATAATATTTAGGTGCCTGGAGAGCATGTTTAAGAACTACATTTTGTATTTTGACCCTTGACACCTTGCCTTAACCTAGCCAGACTATACCTTCAATCTTTGTTTCCTGACCCTTGCTCATACAGACTGAGTCATAACTATGATCAAGGGTTATCCACGAGAAGTCTCATATTTGAACAGCTTGTTCAGGTTTGCTGAGAGTAAATGTACAAAGGAATGGTGATGACGATTAATGGTGGGTATAAGTGTTTTGTAAGAAATAGCAGTTAAGGGATGTGAGACCTGCATCTCATGGCAACATGGTGTTTTAAGTGAAGTGAGACACATACATCTAATGACCACATATTATTTAGCCTTTTGGATTAAATTTTAACAAGGCAATGACAATCATGAATCAGTTTCTGTTACAGTCAAACCTATACAAAACACACCAAGAACTGCCTGAAATTCAAGGGCATCTCGGATCCTGTCATGCATAAGGGAGACAACTCTGCATGGGTACTTGACTACTTGTGCTGCCAGGGACTTGGGGGGTAGGGAAGGTGGGTGGCTGTTAGGTGGGTGGGTGTGGTGTCACAATTTCACAATTCTATCGTGAATGCACATATCAATTTCAAATATTCAATTTTATTTATTCAGTTGTGTGATTGTAAACATTGTACATGAATCAAATAAATGACATACAAAACGCTTCAAAGAGATGCCAATGCTGACTAAGAATTGTACGAATACTGGAGAAGGTGAATTTATGGAATATGACAAAACGTTTCTGAACAACAAAAACTAATATCCTCGTTATGTACCCCATGGAATGATTTCTAAACACACTGTCATTCTGCCTGTATTCTCAACTTGACTGAAAATATACAGTTCCATACAGTTGTACAAACAGAAAAGTTCTGTTGTTCAAGTAAGTCGAGAACGATGAATTTTACTCCTCAATTCTTTCTTGCTGTCATCTCTACTCGTTACGGAAAGTGACATCCACCAACAATTGTGACAACGAAGACACAGTCACCACCTGCACCACACACAGCGTACAGCTGGGGTATGGCGTTAACACGTTTTGGTCGTCAACATCGTCACCTTACAAACTCTTTCACTAGTCATTACACTATCTTCAACTGGCAACATGACAAAACGACGCGAAAGAGAAAGAAATATCACCCTCTCTTACCTGGCTGATCTGATCCCAGCATATCAAACGACCTTCGCCTTGATCGTGTGGAGTTGGTACACTAAGCTGGTTCCTGGCTCCCTTTGCGCGCGTCAACTAGTGTGTATATTACGTTATGAGAGACGGGGCCCAGCTTAGTAGGTACGTTTCCTTAAATATGGTGTCTGCGCATGTCGGTCGGTCGGTCGGTCATCGGGCTATTATCAGTGTATATATATATATTTGTACACGACTGTTATGATCTTATCGCACTGTGACATAGAAACTGTAAAGTCTCTAGGGATTCATTCTAATCTTATTTAACCTAATGAAGATATCTAGTATACAATAGCTCAAAAGAAATCATTGAAATTAAAATTGTTTCTGAAATTCTGTCGGGTTTTTTAACTGGCTACACTTGTACCACAATGGCATGCAATATTACCATCATGTCTGCAGTAACATTCCACACATTTTGACGGACATCATGAATATAGTTTAGACACTAATTCAAAAAGTAAACCAATCCCAGTTGTTTATAGTGAAAGTAGGTGAGAGACAGGCAACCAAGACGCATATATGCGGTACGTGTGGGTGGGAGAATCACACAGTAACGTACACGCGATTATCCCAGGGAAAAGGTAATTAAGCCATGTTAATGCTGCAGATATAACTCATGTAGCCAGTACGCTGCTGCATTACTTGTTTGTTTACAAGTCTCGTTTTGAAGGAAAATTGTCTCTGAAGAGACGCCTTCCTACAGATTATCAACTCTTAAAATGTTATCAGTATGACATATAAATATATAGGTAACCTTTCGGAGAAACCACAGTTGAATGTTGATTGTGGGGACTTCAGGTGATAAATGTAAGACTGTATTTATCTCACAAGTCAGGAGACAGGTCTTTATGTATTATCAGAGACCATATAATAGATCGATCTATTATATGGTCTCTGGTATTATTAATTAAATCAAAAGTGATACGGGAAGAATGTTTAATATTGTCTTTAGCGCCAGACATAGACTCACATTTGGTCCCAAAATAAAGCTATTTAGAAATATATATCTTCGAAAATGGACCTCTTTTTAATTTTTTTGTCCATTGTCCGAGAACAGCATTCATACAAAAACTTCAAAGGTCATTTCTGTTGTCCTAACGGCCGGCCGGTAGCCCAGTCTCTTATCATGTCAGGTTACGTTTGCTGGCAAATGGACTCACGTGGGCTGATGGCCCCGGCGGACACTGATAGATTGCGTGGTGGAAGCGACAACCTTGTGCCCATTAACGGTACAAGAAGGATTCAGTTCACGGCCACAATACAATATGTGAATGAAATGGAGGTCAGAGAGACAGAGAACTATAAATAGTGAAATCGTCTTCGCGGAAGGAAGTCAGTATCCACAGTGGATGACAATAACTAACCGACCGAGTATTGTGACAAACAGCGTGTATGTTTTAATACCATGGCGCTACAAACATGTTACAAAGATAAAACCATGAGTCAATGATATTCTGACAGAACATCTAAGTCCATCATACTTATCTTCCACACAATCAGAAATTAGAAATTCGATAACCAGGTTTATTTAAAAAGAAAAGAAAAAAAGCATCCGATGAGCACCCATCTTTCTGTATGTCTGGTTGTTTAATGAATTGATTAATATGCACTTTCAAGTCTATTTCTGGTGTCCTTAAAGGCGGTGCCGACTGTCCGACCAACATGTCCTTGTTAGCCTAACACTCATTCTCAATAAACCTTCATTGATGTCTCTGGTTATTTAACTCATAACAACAGTGTCCATGATTAATCTATTTGATTGGCATTTTAGAAGTTGGTGAGTAGTAAGATCTTGCTTGACAACGGCATAAGAAGATATACCGAAACGTCGCATCATATATGATAAAGAAGTTGTTATCCATATAGTATCTTACTTTCTCCTGATTAATGTAATAATTTGAATAAACGCAGTGGTACTTGGGTGCACTGAAACACGCACCCATTTAGTTTTTACATGTAAGCTTCAAAAGTGACCAGGAAGGATATCACTGATGTTGTAATGTGGTTACGGTCTTCAGCCTGAGTTGACAACACGCACTGACTCTGTTTTAATGAATTCAGCAATACATATTAGAAATGACTGACTGACTGACTGAGTTTAGTTTTACGCCGCTTTTAGCAATATTCCAGCAATATCACGGCGGGGGACACCAGAAATGGGCTTAACACATTGTGCCCATGTGGGCAAACGAACCCGGGTCTTCGGCGTGACGAGCCAACGCTTTAACCACTAGGCTACCCCACCGCCCCTATTAGAAATGAAGTGGTATGACGATACACGACTATATACATGTGACCATATATTTCTATTAAGCTACACTTATTTGATACATGGAAGGAAGCACAAAGTGCGACTCCAGACTCTTCTAGGGAATGCTTCGTCGTGACAATTAGAAAAGCTCGAGGCACAGTTGTCCACGAAAAGAAGAAGACACCCTTTAGCACCCTGTGTGGGGAGATCATTTGGAATATCGTGGATGAGTGAGCTCTCCGCACAGCCACCTGAAGAAGCAGATCCTGCAACCCCTGCACCTGTTGCTGATTCTGGAAGCCAAACTGACCCTACACTGCCTCTGCTGACCCTTAACGTTGACGGCGTCATTGCAGCTGTTTATCAGAAGGAATGGAATATCGGCAAAGTGCTTGATATTGATGATACAGATGGCGAAGTGCTTGATATTGATGATACAGATGGCGAAGTGCTTGATATTGATGATACAGATGGCGAAGTGCTTGATATTGATGATACAGATGGCGAAGTGCTTGATATTGATGATACAGATGGCGAAGAGGAGTTTTCCTTTTTGGAGAAGAAGAAACACTGTTCAAGTGGCCAAACGTGAAGATATAATCTGGGTGACGAGATAAGATATCTTGATTAAAGGTTGATTGCTTGGTTGGGTTGTTGTTTAACGCCGCACTAAGCAATATTCGGCGGCGGTCTGTAAATAATTGAGCCTGGACCAGACAATCGAGTGATCAACATCATGAGTCTCGATCTACGCAGTTGGGATACACATGACATGTGTCAACCAAGTCAGTGAGTCTGACCAACGATCCCGTTTATCGCCACTTACGACAAGCATGGGTTGCTGAAGATCAAAATTCTAACCCGGATCATCACTGGTTTTGTTTAAAGTAGATGATCTAGTTCCTTCTGGCAAGTCACACAGAATGTTGAAGCTGGAAGAAAACGACATGGAGTTGTTTGTGCCGGCATTTCAACCCCAGACGTGTAACAAAAAAAAGTACATTTGCATTGTTGCAATTTGAGTTCATTGTCATACAAGAATAATAGTGTCAAAGGAATCAAAAAGTTTTGAGTGAGGGAGTGAGTGAGTTTAGTTTTACGCCGCACTCAGCAATATTCCAGCTTTATGGTGGCAGTCTGTAAATAATCGAGTCTGGACCAGACAATCCAGTGATCAACAGCATGAACATGGGAACCGATGACATGTGTCAACCAAGTCAGCGAGCCTGACCACCCGATCCCGTTAGTCGCCACTTAAGACAAGTGTTAGCCCTTTAGAATTGACATATATATTTTGGGTAAGTTTAAGCTAAAATTATGTTGAATTAGGTACCCCCCATATTTTTTGTTAGTCGAACCAACAGACGTTCGTTCAGAAAACATAACTGGTTGTGAGGTAATGTGTAGATGTGACATCACCAGCAGATGTGACGTCACCAGCGTCGCACATTGACGCCATCTTATTGGGGTGATTAATAAATTGACGCTGGAACTATATCACGCTGTTGTCTGTTTTCAGGTATGTATTCAAACTCAACACCAGGCACATTTCCTCTTAAGCCCATGTAGGTCATGTTTACACTTTTGTTTGGATGTATAAAAACACTAGGAACTGTGCATATGTTTAGTTTGACAGTTCCGCTGTGTAAGATAAAAGTAATTAATCAATCGGCGTGTTATCGGTTAATCCTTTGATCGATGTTTATAATGTTGAATATTTACTCAGACACAAGAAATGCCAAATAGGAACCTCGTGTCCGGGTAATCTAAGCAAAGTTACCACTAATTATACCTGTTATAAATTCATTAACTGACCATCAAGTGAATGATGACAAATAACATGTTAAGAGTTTATACCACCTAACACGGGTTACAACGAGGTGAGCGGCTTAATTGCTGTATTCCATGTGAAAACTTATGAATGCCGACACTGTTTGAGAATACAAACAGATTTTTACATGACATGATTAAATATCGAGGTAAAACAACACAGAAATGGGATCAATTTGGATCAGTCATTATACAAATAGGGCCTAACGACGCAATCGATTTTTGACAGAATCGTCTATGAGAAAACAAGTTGTAACTCCGGAAACTAGGCAAAGCAGGAGACAAAATTAAATGACAGTAGATTGGTGATTAACGTTGGCGGCATCATTGCAGCTGTTTATCAGAAGGAATGGAATATCGGCAAAGTGCTTGATATTGATGATACAGATGGCGAAGTGCTTTATATTGATGATACAGATGGCAAAGTGCTCGATATTGATGATACAGATGGCGAAGTGCTTGATATTGATGATACAGATGGCGAAGTGCTTGATATTGATGATACAGATGGCGAAGAGGAGTATTCCTTTTTGGAGAAGAAGAAACACTGTTCCAGTGGCCAAACGTGAAGATATAATCTGGGTGACGAGATAAGATATCTTGATTAAAGGTTGATTGATTGCTTGGTTGGGTTGTTGTTTAACGCCGCACTAAGCAATATTCGGCGGCGGTCTGTAAATAATTGAGCCTGGACCAGACAATCGAGTGATCAACATCATGAGCCTCGATCTACGCAGTTGGGATACACATGACATGTGTCAACCAAGTCAGTGAGTCTGACCAACGATCCCGTTTATCGCCACTTACGACAAGCATGGGTTGCTGAAGATCAAAATTCTAACCCGGATCATCACTGGTTTTGCTTAAAGTAGATGATCTAGTTCCTTCTGGCAAGTCACACAGAATGTTGAAGCTGGAAGAAAACGACATGGAGTTGTTTGTGCCGGCATTTCAACCCCAGACGTGTAACAAAAAAAAGTACATTTGCATTGTTGCAATTTGAGTTCATTGTCATACAAGAATAATAGTGTCAAAGGAATCAAAAAGTTTTGAGTGAGGGAGTGAGTGAGTTTAGTTTTACGCCGCACTCAGCAATATTCCAGCTTTATGGTGGCAGTCTGTAAATAATCGAGTCTGGACCAGACAATCCAGTGATCAACAGCATGAACATCGATCTGCGCATTTGGGAACCGATGACATGTGTCAACCAAGTCAGCGAGCCTGACCACCCGATCCCGTTAGTCGCCACTTAAGACAAGTGTTAGCCCTTTAGAATTGACATATATATTTTGGGTAAGTTTAAGCTAGCTAAAATTATGTTGAATTAGGTACCCCCCATATTTTTTGTGAGTCGAACCAACAGACGTTCGTTCAGAAAACATAACTGGTTGTGAGGTAATGTGTAGATGTGACATCACCAGCAGATGTGACGTCACCAGCGTCGCACATTGACGCCATCTTATTGGGGTGATTAATAAATTGACGCTGGAACTATATCACGCTGTTGTCTGTTTTCAGGTATGTATTCAAACTCAACACCAGGCACATTTCCTCGTAAGCCCATGTAGGTCATGTTTACACTTTTGTTTGGATGTATAAAAACACTAGGAACTGTGCATATGTTTAGTTCTTTGAATCTGTCGTTGACAAAACTTTGTGACCTATTTGTAGTGCAAGTCGATTGTGGTTTTGCTTGATGCTGTACATATGTCAGTTACAACCATTCGCTTTTGCATTCTATGACCTAAAAGTTCATTAAATGGATTAAACCTTGTGGGCAGACGAAAATATTATTATTGCTAGAGTAAATTGTTATTGCTGCGAACCGGAAGTAGCATGGTCAGTGTCGTAAGGGTTATGCGCATACAGATCGGAAATAAGGTCAAGGGCACTCAAAGTTTATTCCGGTAAGAAGGATAGAACATTACGAAAGTATTTTAAATTGCTTGAAACTGATGTTTAGATATTGAATGGTTAGATCATAATTTAGTCTGTAACAAATATGTTGAAACAGGGAAATATATTTGTTGAATGCAAGTATTGGTAAACGTTATTAAATTGAGATTGTACTGTAACACTGTAAATATTGTGTATTCAACTGAAGTTAACTGTTGAGTTATGATAATTCAAGGTACTGTATTACTCCATTTAGAATATATAGTGTCATGCAGATTATATGTACATGTTGATGTACCTGTGTAGCATATATATTAATCCAATATGAGTTATTGTTACTCAGTAATTATGGAGTAAGAACAGAATTATACTTAACCATCCATGCAAAGGTTAATGCTGAGTTGTATGGTATGTGTAAATGATTTGCTACTAGGTAAGTGAGATAACTTGGTGTAGGTTGTATACCTGTGGTTAATCTGTGGAATACCAGATCATTGAACTAAGGGAGATAACCTGGTATGGTGTACCTGCCTGTAAGTAATCAGTGAGCGTCAGGTTATTGAACTAAGGGAGACAATCCACCTATTTCTGTTGTACTGTAAACTTGCTGTAATGAGCGTCGCACATTGACGCCATCTTATTAGGGTGATTAATAAATTGACACTGGAACTAAATCACGATGTTGTCTGTTTTCAGCCATTTTGATGGCAACAACCAACACCCTCTCCCAGGGGTGCAACACAAGCATAATAGCCTTTTGTGGCAAGCATGGGTTGCTGAAGACCTCTTCTACCCCGGATCTTCACGGGTCTCAAAAAGTTTTGACATATGTCTTGATTGCATCCACTTATCCTTTTATGAAACATACATTACCTGTTTATGAATTTAAAATGTACGTCAGTCTGATCTTTTTGATTTCATGTATATTGCCTTTTAAATACTATGAAAACATATTAACTGTAGTTTTGAGGCGTCAATGGTAATACATATCTTTTCGTGTCAGTCACGTTTGACATTGTATGCAATTCATTGTAATGTACGTTTAGTTTACATCAGATTGAGTTAGGTTGATAAGCTATGAACACAAATGTTTAAACGTATTTTCTACTCATGGCTTTTCTTAGCTATGTGTTGAGCTATATTTCCAAGGACATGTTCTTGTTTCCTAGGTATTCTTTTTTCAACCAGGCAAAGTTAATATTAGATACCTTCAACAAGATAATCTAGAATGCTACAACATAATGTCTTGGTATGTCCATTACACCCCAGATGTAAGTCATATGACACCAGACCGCCTACCTGGTGTAGTGGTTATCTGTTCTTGTAGTTACTGAGTTACAATAACTCATATTGGATTAGTGGTGTAGTGGTTCCGTCCGCCCCGGAGAGCGGGGGAGGTCGCGGGCCTGATCCCCGACCGCGTCATACCAAAAGACGTTAAAATATGGTACTTGTTGGTCCCTGCCTGGCGCTCGGCATTAATGGGTACAACAAGGACTGGTCGGCTTGGAGTCAGTATAATGTGTCTGAGTGGGGTATTCATGCTTCACTGCCGCATGGTATCTCAGTGGGCTAGCACTATAAAACCAGCTTAAGTCTGGGCTAGTACAAGCAGCCGCACATACACATACACGCATGCACATGGTCATATGAGCGAAATATTCTCAAGCACGACGTTAAACCCAATTTCACCTCACCTCACCTCATATGACACCAAGGCCTGCTAGGTTGCAAAGCTTTAACTGTAGATGGTATTGGGGGCTTGCCCAACCTTTTTAGCAACAATCATTTGTAAGCCCAGGCTTTTTTCTATAACCGTAGCTACGCCCCTGGACACATGTACTGGGGTATGTGAATCAGGTCTGATACCTTTAGGTCAAACTTCCTTGCCTGGTACATTTACCTGTGTACTGTGTGTACTGATACTAATGATCTAAACAGAACTTTCATCAAAAATAGATAGGTTGCTGGTAACACACAGTACATGTTCTAAATTTTCAGATTAGTACTTGTAAAGTTGGATGGAGCTGACGAAAGGAATTGTCTTCTGTGCTAAGTTTTGCTTTTCTGTATACTTGGAGCTCTTTACAACAAAGGCAACGTCTTTCAAGTCCAACTACTGACCTATATATATTTTCCAATTTGTGCATTCCAGATACAGTGGTTTATTGTGTTTCCAACACATGTTAACACCTGTTGGTAAAAATGCCCCTGGGATTCGGTCCTGTATAATTAAGCTAAGTGGTCCTGTGCACCAAGGACATGAATCAGGTGAAGTCGCGGGATGGGTGACCTGGTTTTCACTGTGCCATACAGTGAAGTACATGCAGCATTTTGAGACTTCATCTGATAATTTCCTGACACCAACAGTAAATGGGTAAGCGAAAGGACCAATCGGAAATGTGAATGTTTACAGACAGCTTGTGTAGTGTTCTCCCCAGGGAGTTCAGAATGAAAACGAGTTTGAAATAGCATTTCTAGCATGTGGACTTGGTGCATTATTCACAATCTCGTATTCTTTGAATAAAATTCTTCTGTAACAGTTCCTGTTTATTGCCTCCAGCGACGCTTTGATGTCGATTCTTACACTGATATCACGTTTAACTTGCGTAAGAATCTACATCGAAACGTTGCTCTGCGCCATAAACAAGAAATCGGTATCCATTAAGTTGTATGCTTCCTTGTTTACTCACTAACTCATAGAATACCAATCAAACAAGTGTTCTGCTATGCGTACACGACTACAGCAATGAATAAGGCATACGCTGCTCAATATGACTCTATCAGCAGTGGGCGGTGGGGTAGTCTAGTGGTTAAAGCGTTGGCTCGTCACGCCGAAGACCCGGGTTCGAATCCCCACATGGGTACAATGAGTGAAGCCCATTTCTGGTGTCCCCCGCCGTGATATTGCTGGAATATTGCTAAAAGCGGTGTAAAACCAAACTCAGTCAGTCTATCAGCAGTATGTGGTCTCTGGTCGACGTCATTGTTTGATATCTAGGCACCTCTGTCTCAGGAAAGCGAGACGTGACGGCTAGCCACAAGCTACACAAATTACGTTTGTTTCAAGCTACACAAATTACGTTTGTTTCTCAACGTTTTCATTGACGAAAAGTCTATAATTCAGTTAAACACATTCCATGAATGTAATTTGTTTTGGGATCGATTTTTTTCCAAACGACTGTCCTATTTTCAATGACTCTATTTAACTACTATTTAGAGACCGTCTTCTGGGAAGTTTGGTGAGTCGAATGATTATCTATCATGCCAATATGGACAACACCGCCTCTTCCAATGAAGAAGTGAATCACCCGACTCTTGTGGAAATATGTTCAACTGTCACAAGTCCCTGTTAACAACCACCACACCTAGAACTTGCCCATCTAGTGGTGTGCAATGTGTTAAGTATGCATACACAGGGGGAAAAGTATCGCAACACCCCATACTTTGTCATAGTGTCAATACGTTACCATTAGCAATATAAACAACGGAACTCAACACTCAATTTAATTACTATCTGGCTAGACTGACATCAAGGAATAATTAAATGGCGAATATAAACCCCAAAAGATCGAAAAACTATAGTGTATTTAGAGAAGCAAATAAATTGACTCACTTTGTAATTTTGTATTGCTGATTACTATGGTGGTATGACGTCAACAAGTGTGTCCATTTTCAGGATCCTCAAGAAAACACAAGTATCAATAACGGAGCACGATGTCAATATCTGATGTAACCTCCGCCAGCTGCAATAACATCCTTGCCTGTCTTGAGCCTCCTCCCAACTGACTGTGTCAGACGTTGAATTTGACGTTGAAGTATTGCGTTTCATTCTTGACTGAGGGCTTGTTCCAGTACATCAAAATTTTGTATTGGAGGATCTCTCTGCGACCCATAATGTCCCAAACATGCTCTATGGGTCATAAACGTCATTACGTTGCTGGTGTTTTCTGTCGGCTGATAATCGATGGATGGCAAGCAGCATTTGTTGCAATAGCCCTCAATAACGTGCCAGCATACCAATAACGTCTCACCTTTGAGCAGTTGTCAGTTGAAGAGGCCCATATTTATCAACAACAAAATCAATACATTGTTGAAGTTATCGAGCTGCTATAGCAGCTTACTTAATATTGGCTTACTGACGGGTACACGTATTGCACGTGATGCTCGCCTTTGATCATAGCACCTGCACACCTAAAGTCAGTCATACCAACATAATCATGATATGGGGGTTAAAATAATAGATGTTGCGATACTTCTTTTCATGTGTATAGAATGCGCTCTTGCAGTTACATTGGCTGTACATTAAGTCGTGTCCCGATAGGTGTTAAAGGCACAATATCACACCACACTTCTCTAAAAATAGATAATGCCAAATTACATATTTAGATTACAATATTAAATTAAAAAGTTCGAATATGTTAATGTAATGTTTTAGGCAAGTCGTAAGGGATAATAAGTCTTTTATTGCATTAATAGGTATCCACGAAGGTCCGGGTTAGAATGAACCTTCAGTAACCCATATTTGTCCTAAGAGGGATCGGGTGGTCAGGCTCGATGGCTTGGTTGACACATGTCATCGGTTCCCAATGGCGCAGATGGATGCTCATGCTGTTGATCACTGGCTTGTCTGGTCCAGACTCGATTATTTAGCTGTAATATTGCTGAGTGCGGCGTAAAACTAAACTCACTCACTCACTTAATAGGAAACTAAATGTACATGCCCCAATATATTTAGTATAGCCCGAAATATTGTCGAAAATAAGTGGCATTGTGCCTTTAACTACCGAAGGATACAGCTATTATTCTAAGAGTTATCATCCAAAAGATAATAACCGAATTTATGCCCATGGGCCTAAAACGGATTTTTTTCGTTTTTGACCCATAAACGTAATGCTACGTGGGCATAGGCAGCAAGTATCGGTAATGTCAACCACTTGTTTGTTTGTGTCGACCCGGTTATTTACGCAGGGATACAGATGTAATATTCCCGACTGTGGGGTGAAACACACAATCAGGATAATACAACTCAAACGTCCGATTCAACAATGGTGTTGACATTATTCTTACATCTTGCAACTAGCACTGATACTTTCCACATTCAAGGCTTTCGCAAATCTAGCGCGACTTTGATAAACCGGTTTTCTTTAACACATTTAAAAAATAAGCACGGTCCATGACTAAATTTAGTTTATTGAACTTTATATCTATAGAAAACAAGCAGCCAACATTAATCGCGATTCTTGCAAATTATTGAGAATGAACATATGAAAAAAAGACGAAATCAAGTAAGTACTTCTTTTAATGACCGATTTTCTTCTGATATGATTCTGAATGTTCTAATTGATTAACTGTAAACCTCTGAAATGAGGCTAAAGAGGCTTATAAGAAATACGTGGCTTATTGATCAAATCAAGTGACCGAAAACAATACTGTCACCACTTCAGGGCATGAAATAAGAATCTTATCCCTTTTATCCCAGCTTTGGGGTAAATCCCAGGGACAAATAATCAATGATTTTGTGAAGCCTTCACCACGCTGAAATATCGCCTTGTAGAGATTTTATGTGCGCTTCCAACGATTGGTTCGTCAGTCTTGACTGGAAACTTGCATTTAGGAAGGTAATGCAATTGACGAGTTGTAACTGATCAGTTATCATGCAGTAATATATGGTCTTTGAATACAGCTCCAGAACAGCTCCTATATGCCTTTCATTTCTCTTTTCTGAAGACTAGACCGCTAACTGCCCTTCACTGTTCACAGAACGTCCATTGCAGACGCCCGATGCTTTGACCGATCGCCTTCTCGAAGATCGCAAGTGTTTTCAATGTCTTGTTCCGTGTACGAGAAACAATACAGCGGGTAGCTTTAACCACCAGTCCTGATCGAATATAGGTGTGGTGATTCGGGTGTACTCTCAGGTGTTTGTTTTCCTTCAGTTATCAATAAGTGTACTAAATTAGTATAACCTCTCTCTCGATCGTCGATTCGAGGCTGAAGTGGTGCGATTTTAGCGCGTGTAAGAAACAGCTATTTTACACACGCGTGGGTGTGAAACCAATGTGAAATAACTGCTATCAGACATATGTGTGAGAACGATCTCCAGGTCCGTGATTGGCTCCTCCACGAGATGACCTAAGGTCAGAATACGATTATGATTGTAATTCATTGATAATTTACACGTGTATCTACCAAGACAGACATGTCACCTACGCCAAACACCTCTCTCCATATAGTCTGTTTATCTCCAAATGAGAACAATGTTTGTTATATTCACACCCCTCTCTGTACAAGTTAAAAGGATGGAGGTCACTGCCGAAATGGCTTTAGCAATCGTAATACCTGTTTAACAATATTGTGAATATCATTACTGGTTTTAATGGAGATATGTGACAAGCTCCCTGTATCGTCCAGAGTCGGTACCGTCTAGGGCTGCGCAATATAACCGGTTTACCGGTATATACCGGTTCAGACATGAAAACGATACGTATTGCGATAAGTTGATCTAAAACCGGTATTTTGACATGCATTCGGAAAACTTGTTAACGCTCGAAAATCTTCGGATATTTCCGTCTTTTACACCGGAAGCCATGCGTGTGTTGTAAAATGGTGACCCCCAACAACGAACAATTTATTGTGGTGCCAAATACTAGGGCAAAGGCATCGGTAAGGCAGCATTTTGGGTTGAAAAAGTTCACGGTACATGGAACTATTGGTAAGAGTAATGCGGTATGTAAAATATGCAATGGTAAAGTAGTTTTTATTAAAGCTTAATCAGGCATAGTGATTTTGTTGTGTTTTTGCTTTATAAATCAAGCATTAACATCCTGCACTATATTGCAATACATATCGCAATACATGCTTTCGCATCGCAATATATCGCAATATGAAAATTCTTTGCAATACCCACCTCTAGTACCGTCAGTCTCTGTCCTTGATAAGATCGATTTGAATAGTGGTTGGATCGATGAACTGATGCAGAACGATTTTTTATCTTCTAAACATGACGAATCTTTAGAAAACGATCCAGCCCCAGCCCCCGAGCAACTATGTGATCAATCGCAAATAACAATTTGACAATCAGAACCAAAACGCACTCCATAAAACGATGTACAACAGGAAGTCGAACCAGTCCCTTCCAAAGAAACATCGAGGCATCAATGAGAATGGAACTACTTACTAAATACTAGATATTTACATACAACTGGCAGCATGGCGTCAGGTTTGACAGACATTTCAATACGAATCACAACCGTTCATTATCGATCAGTGAATTCGAAAAGCTCAACACTGTCGCCAAAACAAAACAAGAAGAACCACAGAGAGATGGGATTGACCTTCCTCCCCGTGCTCAGTCTGGCTGAACTAGAAGCATTGTTCATTTGGTTGAAAGTACATGGAGCCGAGAAACATAGTGTGGATTACATCACTATGAGAGATCGGGCATTAACATTTTAAAAAGAAATGGGAATTGGTGAAGTCTCGCTACAAATACTTGGTTCTTGGCATCTGAAATTTTGCATACTTGACCACATTTCACCCCGGAAGATGACCCATCATGGACAGCTGGACAAACGGGACTATTCAACGAATGATCAGCTATGTTCATCTCAGTGGTGTACAGCGGTTGGACTCAAAAACAAGATATTTAACATGGATGAAACGACGATGACCTGGCGACTGGCCACGACAGATTCACAGTGTCAAGTACATTACCTTCCATGGATGTCATGGTAATTCTTAGAAACTTGGTCCCCCTCCCAAAAGTCAGGGTTTCAAACAGTGAGTTCTTCGTGTTAAGAGGAAGTTTAATGAACAGTTGATGATGTCGTTGATAAAACGGGTGTTCAAATGTTCTGGGCCTAGATTTTCGAAGCTCTCCTAGCGCTAAGATAGTCGTAAGTGCCATACCTTAACATCAACTTACGACTATCTTAGCGCTAAGAGAGCTTCGAAAATCTAGGCCCTGGGTCCTACTTTGTGAATCAACCATCGTTTATGAAGGAAATAGGACAGTCACAGAAGTCACTACACTGACCCTGTCCAGACGACATGCTACCTGCAGCCTGTTGACGTGTATACATGTGTCACCGCTCCAGCCAGAGCAGCGGTAGGAAACATTGGCAGGATTAACGGGGACAAAGAGTTCACCCATTCGGGAACCGGAAGAAGCCGTCTTACAATGTTCTTCTTCAGATGGTTTCGCCTTTGGTGGCGTCAATTTCATCTTCCAACATCATCTGTTCCCTTCAGCTGTGGGTCGCGGCCGAGATGGGATATTAAGTCGCAGTGGAACACCTGCATTCCAGACTGAGACACCTCGTCCAAACACCTGAAGATTGTGTTCACTCCGACGAGAACAACGATGACGAGCAATTTTAATTTTCCACCTCCGAGGATGAAGAAGAAGACTAGAAGTGCTGAATGACACGTACACTGTGAACTTGTGTCTAGTCTATCTCCGTGTTCAGTAATGTTAATACTCTGGGTGTACATTTTACACATTTAGTGTATTACTGCGGTATGGATTGTATTTTGTTGACAAATGTCATTTCTTTGTGTATTTTGTTAACTTGAAAACAAAACCATTTCATATTGTCAGTTCTTGTTTCAAAGCCTTCAGTAACCCATGCTTGTGGTAAGAGGCGACTAACGGGATCGGGTGGTCAGGCTCGCTGATTTGGTTGACACATGTCATCGTATCCCAGTTGCGTAGACCGATGCTCATGCTGTTGATCACTGGATTGTTTGGTCCATACTTGATTATTTGCAGACAGCCACCATATAGCTGGAATATTGCTGAGTGTGGCCTGAAACAACACCCAAACCAAACCAATCTTGTTTTCCATTTGTGAGTATTAATTTGTTCATTAAACTTTTGATATTTCTCTTGCTTTTATCTTTCGGTCTTTTTTACGTTTTTCAAGCCCTGGGCTTTAATTCATGTAAACTGATTGAGGTCCTCGACTTTCACCTTGACGAAACCAACGAGCTGGGACTAACAGGGCAATGATCTTAATCACAGAGAATCTTGGATTCGAACATAGGGTCAGCGGATCATGGTATCCCAGAAGCGCGCCACCTACAGACATACTCAAGAAAATGTTGTTTATATCGATGATGGAGGGTATGGGCCAAACAGATGACAGGATGAAGGACAAATCCTGGCCGCATCTTGTCTGGTCTGAGAGAGTTGATATTAACGTCTCTTGGAACAGAGTTTCACACAGCATCTATTTAAAGGCGAGCCACCTTGATGATGGAGGCAAGCTGATCACGACGTTTGGTGAAACACCTGTGCGAGTCCTTCTATCTCTTGGCACGCTTCTTTGCCTCTCGCCTCCCGTATACTCTGTTCTGGCCAGGGTCAACGTCTGAAGCGTGCGTAAAATTCATGCCCGAAGAACATATCAGCGAGCACTCGCTGTTGATGCCGGTCTTGGGTATCTGATAGTGATAGGTTGACCTCTGCACACTGACCGTTAACCGAATGAATGAATAAGGCCACCTGTTCGGTTATGATTGTCACGTGACAGGAACCTGGGAGAAGCTGGAGACTAGTACAACACATGTCACAGAATGTAAATTTGTTTACCATCATTGGACGTTTGAACGCTTCCTTCAGGGAAGATTCGTGAACGTGAGTGAGTGGGTTGGGTTCTACTCCGCTTGTAGCACTACTCAAGCAATAGCTGAGGCTGTCGTCCCCTTTGGTACGCGTGATTCACGGGTCTATGTATAGAGTATTCGGGGCTCAGCAGTGAGGTACAAACAAATATTCGTTTTTGTTAGGCAGGTTCAACATTTATAACAATAATGGTGTACATATACATCTCCATTATTGGGTAATTTATTCTGTCGAGTATGTTTAATCCAAATTCGCACCCTTTTCCCAATGCATTTTAGATTTTTATTGAAATATTCGATTCGGATGAAAGCAACGAGATACAGAGTGAAAATTAGATGGTATTCGGGGTTCCAGTGTAAGACTCGAACCCGAACGTGGAGTTTTATCATCGTTCTGTTCAGAAAACACGCAAAGAGGAGCAGGGTTGGGGAGATATAATATTCCGCATCATACTGAATACTGATATTGTGAATTAGGGTTATTATTTGATTAACGCTTAGTCTCTGAATATATATAATTTTGCTAGAAACAAATAATTCCATTTAAACTGAAAAGGAACCTCAGCGAGGTTGGAGATTCAGAACCTGAACCTGAGGAAATCTTGATTTACTTCATCTCTGGCTTTAGTATGGCAGAAAGTGCTGAGCGGAAGGGGAAATAGCGGTTCCGGGACTGTGAGACAGACTAGGCTAACATGTATGGATGGAGCAGTCAACTTATTCAAACTTTTGACAACTTAAGCTATATGTGAAAAAGATTAGTTCACAATACTTTTCATCAAGTCTATTAATTAGAGAACTGGATCCATGAGCTAATTTCGGCTGAGAAGGGGATGAGAATGGATGGAGTTGTTCTTTTATTGATATATATATATATTACCCCGAAGTCTGTAAGAGGGAGTAAGAGAGACAAATATCAACAGTATCATCAACATATAAATGTGTGCATAGTATATGTGTCCACTTGCATGCATTTCATAATATTAAATCCCGACCGTAATTGTTTACCATCTTGGAAATATTATTTGGTAGACTACACAATACGGAGACTCTAAAGGGTTACAGATTCTTGTGAATAATGTCTGTTAACAGTCTACATTTGGACTTCCCTTGGAGGCTGATTGTCTCCGGCTCACCGACCAGCGTTAAGCGGGACTTGCACAGCGTCAAGTCCAACACCAGTGGGCTAATACTGGTTGTTCTGTTCTAAGCTGTTGTTTAGACCTGTTGTGGTGAGGACAAGCCAGCAAGTTGTACCCGCATAGCCTTTCATCCCCTGTCGTATGTCGCGAGTCAGCGCCTCCTGGCGTCCACACCAGTTTGTTTGTCATGCGCATGCCGGCACGAGGGTTGTTGACGGTGGTAACCGCGCGAGTCAACGTAGAGATTTTTGAGACCGCTGTTTCAATATATTTGTTTGCATTGCCAGGAATCAGAAGTCAGGTCACATTTACCTCCTGAAACAACGGGAACAATACAGCTTTGTCCATCAAACCCAACCCAGGATGATTCCCACGCTGGTTTGGCGGGAAACAGTGTCGTACGTTTTGGCGCGCGAGGAGTCAGCGAGTTCTGTCTAAGTAGTGTTATGGACTAATACCCTGGCACACTCTAACCGTCATGGGCGTGTCAGTAGATACAACTAGATATAACTGCTTCATACACAAGAGCTAGGATATGCCAACTATATTTGTTTTTTAAATTATTAACTACATGTACTTTATTTCAATATAAATGCATTCTTTTTAAGAAGCATCATTTTGTTATTTAACTACACATGTGTCCATCATCCGTGGTATTGATGAAATTATCTCCAAAGTAAACGATTGAACAAAAACGCCTCGTAATTCTTGCTGCTAGTTTGGAGGTAGTTATTGCTGCTGGTGTGGATGGGGCTGTTGTTGCTGCTGGTGTGGATGGGGCTGTGGTTGCTGCTGGTGTGGATGGGGCTGTGGTTGCTGCTGGTGAGGATGGGGCTGTGGTTGCTGCTGGTGAGGATGGGGCTGTGGTTGCTGCTGGTGAGGATGGGGCTGTGGTTGCTGCTGGTGAATGGGGCTGTGGGGATGGGGCTGTTGTTGCTGCTGGTGAGGATGGGGCTGTTGTTGCTGCTGGTGTGAAGGTGCAGAGATAATTATTGTTGCTGCTGCTGGTTTGGAGTTGTGGAGGTACATGTAGTTGTTGCTGCTCGTGTGCAGGGGTAGATAGATAGAAAAATAAATAGTGCACATTCATAATGCGCTCATTTCCACGCTTGCAGCATGCTCATGGCACAACAACTACAAAGTACATAGGAAGGGAGGATGACAAAGTTATTATGATTCATAGAACTGGCAGAAAAGATAGGTTTTGAGACTCGTTTGAATGACTCAAACGTTGGAGAAAGTTTAAGGTCTTGGGGAAGAAAGTTCCACATGTAGGGGGCATAATGTTCAAAAGATCTCTGACCAAAGCACTTGAGTTTGTATTGTCGCACTGTCAGTAGATTCTGGTGTTGGGATCTTAGTTCCCGTGTTGGGACATTGGCTGACATCAGCTCTGATATGTATGAAGGAGATTGCTCGTGCAGAGATTTATATGTTATATGCAGAAATGTAGTTGTTGATGCTAGTGTGAATGGGGTAGTTGTTGTTGCCGCCGATGTGAAGGCACGGAAGTAGTTGTTGCTCCTGGTGTAAAGTTGTAGATTTAGATGTTGCAGCTGTTGGTGTGGAGGTAGTTGTTGCTGGTGTTGTGACTCTAGTAGAAGCAGTGGCAGCTGATCAATTAATTTAAAACTATTAAAACTAACTAATGGTTTAATTGCAGGACGTCCTCTTCAGATGTCATGGACTGACGACAGTGCCATCTTCAAGCACACGTGAATCATACAGTTCAAAGATCGCCGTTATTTGAGAAGGAAAGGCTCGGCATTGGAAATCGAACCGGACACGGAGGTCGACGCGGTAGCAGGCGTTTTGTAAACATGTGTGCTACTTGCAATCAATTGTTATCAATAAGCAATGAATATAGTTTTGCGTATTGTAAGGAAGCCGGGAGAGACAATGCCTCATACAGACCAGCATGGCAGTCTTACACACCTGATCGATATTCCCTGGCTCAGCATTGATTATTGGTTATTGAACTCATTGTTTCAAATTGTTGTAGACACGACGCTGTAAACTTGGAAAAATATTATATAGATCAGACTATGAATCCGACCCAAGGAATGTATTTGGGTTTAAGAATTAGTAAACGACACGTCAGTTCGTTAAATCAGGATACAACTAGATATTGCTTGTTTATGATTTGGTTATTCACCAATAAAGATCTTTCCGGCTATATTAAGTATATACACCTTCACTTACGCGCACGTACAGCGCATAAATAGGTTATAAAACACCACAGCATATAAAGCGGCCCCCTTTTGGTCAAAGACAACGTAAAACTCAATGCAAAGTTTCCGAATACATTAAAGTAAAGCGGTTATTGGATTCGAGGCATTCTTTGCCGGGAAAGAAGTTTCTTCTCACTGTTTTTGCTGATTAAATTCTATCGGTTTTTAAATCAATTGGAGCTTGGCGCACAAGAGCAACATCGCTCAAAGTCGTCACACAATGTGGTCATGCTGTGCACTGGGCTAGGGGCGCGTGGAGCTCGTGCAACGTCTGAGTGAGGGTCACACTGGCCCTTAGGGGGCGTCATCGACGGTAGACCCCACCATGTCGCTGTCGATGTCGTCGCATGACGTCCACGTGACGCACGTCTTCATATGCCACATGTTCCTCGTTGATCGAATACCCCTTGGCTAACCCCGACTCAGCTGTATTGTGGTGTAACATGAATCATTGTCTTATACGGCTGAGTACGTAAGGAGTTTATAATTATAAAGTCAGATGTGAACATTACTTTATCTATATATTCATACTGTATTCGTCGATTGTATTTAAGTAATATAACAACCTGCCATGACAAAGTACTCAGTGACATTTTGTATGAATGTCAGTGCCAAGTGTAGGCCCAATGAATTTAAGCTTCTTCCAACTACCCCCTCTGTCCCCTCTATTAACTCACTAGCACATAGTATATTACAGCCGTGACACAAACAGCATGACCAAACCCCGCCCTCCTCTAGCTGTGATAGCAGATCTCATGGGCAAACCCCGCCCTCCTCTAGCTGTGACAGCAGATCTCATGGGCAAACCCCGCCCTCCTCTAGCTGTGATAGCAGATCTCATGGGCAAACCCCGCCCTCCTCTAGCTGTGACAGCAGATCTCATGGGCAAACCCCGCCCTCCTCTAGCTGTGATAGCAGATCTCATGAGCAAACCCCGCCCTCCTCTAGCCGTGATAGCAGATCTCATGGGCAAACCCCGCCCTCCTCTAGCTGTGACAGCAGATCTCATGGGCAAACCCCGCCCTCCTCTAGCCGTGACAGCAGATCTCATGGGCAAACCCCGCCCTCCTCTAGCCGTGACAGCAGATCTCATGGGCAAACCCCGCCCTCCTCTAGCTGTGACAGCAGATCTAATAAATGTACTCCGCCTCCTCTAGCCGTGACAGCAGATGTCATGAACAAACTCCGCCTCATACAGCCGTGACAGCAGATGTCATGAATAAAACTCCGCCTCATATAGCCGTGACAGCAGATGTCATGAATAAACTCCGCCTCCTATAGCCGTGACAGCAGATGTCATGAACAAACTCCGCCTCATATATCCGTGACAGCAGATGTCATGAACAAACTCCGCCTCATATAGCCGTGACAGCAGATCTCATGAACAAACTCCGCCTCGTATAGCCGTGACAGCAGATCTCATGAGCAAACCCCGCCCTCCTCTAGCTGTGACAGCAGATCTAATAAATGTACTCCGCCTCCTTACTTCGGCGACCTGCCCTCATCTAGCCGTGACAGCAGATGTCATGAACAAACTCCGCCTCATATAGCCGTGACAGCAGATGTCATGAATAAAACTCCGCCTCCTATAGCCGTGACAGCAGATGTCATGAATAAACTCCGCCTCATTATAGCCGTGACAGCAGATGTCATGAATAAACTCCGCCTCCTCTAGCTGTGACAGCAGATCTAATGAATGTACTCCGCCTCATATACCCGTGACAGCAGATGTCATGAACAAACTCCGCCTCATACAGCCGTGACAGCAGATGTCATGAATCAAACTCCGCCTCATATAGCCGTGACAGCAGATGTCATGAATAAACTCCGCCTCGTATAGCCGTGACAGCAGATCTCATGAACAAACTCCGCCTCCTATAGCCGTGACAGCAGATGTCATGAACAAACTCCGCCTCATATAGCCGTGACAGCAGATGTCATGAATAAACTCCGCCTCATATAGCCGTGACAGCAGATGTCATGAATAAACTCCGCCTCATATAGCCGTGACAGCAGATGTCATGAATAAACTCCGCCTCATATAGCCGTGACAGCAGATCTCATGAACAAACTCCGCCCCCATAACCGTGACAGCATATGTCATGAACAAACTCCGCCTCATACAGCCGTGAAAGCAGATGTCATGAATAAACTCCGCAGATGTCATGAACAAACTCCGCCTCATATAGCCGTGACAGCAGATGTCATGAATAAACTCCGCCTCATATATCCGTGACAGCAGATCTCATGAATAAACTCCGCCTCATATAGCCGTGACAGCAGATGTCATGAACAAACTCCGCCTCATATATCCGTGACAGCAGATGTCATGAATGAACTCCGCCTCATACAGCCGTGAAAGCAGATGTCATGAATAAACTCCGCCTCATACAGCCGTGAAAGCAGATGTCATGAATAAACTCCGCCTCATATAGCCGTGACAGCAGATGTCATGAATAAACTCCGCCTCATATAGCCGTGACAGCAGATGTCATGAATAAACTCCGCGTCCTATAGACGTAACAGCAGATGTCATGAATACAATCCGCCTCATACAGCCGTAACAGCAGATGTCATGAATAAACTCAGCCTTATATAGCCGTGACAGCAGATCTCATGAATAAACTCCGCGTCATATATCCGTGACAGCAAATCTCATCAATAAACCCCACCCTCCTGTTACCCGTGACAGCAGGTCTAATAACTTAACTCCACCTTCCTGTAGCCGTGACAGCAGATCTCATGAATATAACTCCACCCTCCTAATGCCGTGACCATCGATTGTATCAACTTTGATTGGTGGGTCGAAAATTTTAAATAAATCCAATTTCAAATATGTTTTTTGTTCTCCTAAAAGAAGTAAAGAGAGAGTAGTACGTACTGAAGCCATACGGCATAGCGATCCGTCATAATTCAATGTGTATTGAGGTTTTGCGGTAACGCTTAAACAGATTTTAATTATAGTATTGAAAAAAAGTATTTAAATTGATAATGGTTGCAAAGAAGTTTGGGTTTTTTACTTTAGAGGAAGAAACGAGAAGAAAAATATTTGACTTGCTGGTAGGCTGGATGGAAATCACACCGCATGTATTTTTCAGGTTCCAGATTTAGGAATCGGAGGATTTGTAAACCTAGTGTTACATACAATTGACTCTTACACCATGTATGGTATGTAGGGGACACGTTTGTATTGGAATTCGGTCACGTTAGAAGAGGTTTTGGATGAAACAACGGAGTGCATGTAGTACAGGATGTGAAATATTGGGGGCTACTGAAGGGCGGCACGGGTTCGGTTTCAAAGTATCATGTATTGATTACACAATGGAAAATTAATATTTTGAATTAATTCCAAAAATAATTTTGAGGTGAGAGGTTGGAGATGACGAGATGGGGTGAATGGCTGACACAGGTCCTGTGTTGATCAAATAGCGTGCCATCACACATCAAAAGAGAGGCTCCCTTAATGAAGACCCGCAGTTGATGAGGAATAAAAATACGTTGCATCACAGAGAATTTCTGATAATGAAATGCGTTACCCGAGAGTGAATAATGGCCATTCTATCGACACGAGGTATGCAAGTACCAGTAGAAGTCACTTTGAAGATCTCATTTGACGAATATCATAGAAAATACAGTGCGGCGTCTGAACCGACGGTAACGACATCACAAGCACGACGATGTCTCGACGGTAAGGGGAGAAGGCAGTTATTAGCAATAATGTATTGAGCACACGCTTACAAAATAATGTTCTTTACTTGCAAAAAGTACACGATCAAAACCAATAACAGAAAGTTAAAGAAAATAGTTTGAAAAAGGAAAACATCCATATTTGAGAGGTGTTCGTGGTGAGTCGTGGTGAGTCCGCCTGTAGTCATACAGAAAATGAGGTGAGAAGGTGAGCTGTATTCAGTCCGCCTGTGGTCATAAAGAAAATGAGGTGAGAAGGTGAGCTGTATTCAGTCCGCCTGTGGTCATACAGTAAATGAGGTGAGAAGGTGAGCTGTATTCAGTCCGCCTGTAGTCATACAGAAAATGACGTGAGAAGGTGAGCTGTATTCAGTCCGCCTGTGGTCATAAAGAAAATGAGGTGAGCTGTATTCAGTCCGCCTGTGGTCATACAGAAAAAAGAGAGGTGAGCTGTATTCAGTCCGCCTGTGGTC